CCCCAAAACCCCAAAACCCCAAAACCCCGTATTATGTTAAATCAAGAAATAAAGTAGAAAGTATAAAAACTTATAGAAATAAATTAACTTCACATTCAAAACAATCAATGATCAATTCTATTCAGAATAACGGTAAATATTTAATCATATTTCGACAACTCAATAAGGCTCAGCTGGATGATCAGCTTTATGAGTTTTCATACTTTCAACCACATCATGACTGAAGAAATCAGTTGGGACGTAATCCAAGATTCCTACTGAAGGGGCACCTTCTAGTGCTTTTAGATTCTAGAGACATTTAGTCTAAACAAAATCAAGATACTCCTTTGAGTTGAGGTTGGGTTCATCTTACTTAGGATTGAAATGCAGTTTAAAGTCATTACCATAGAATTCATAGAAATCATTCATAGGGATCTAGTTGTCGAGTTCCTACCCAAGACAGATGCCTGTTTCATTAGCCCAGCATCTTGCAACATTCTTAATAGTATAGCCACCTCCACCTAGCACTAACATGGGTAAACCCCAACCCTTTACATGTTTTACACACTCTCCATGTCCACGAATGGTAGTATTATAAGTACCTAATCTATCATAAGCAAGAGAGTCTGCACCACATTAAATAACCACAGCATCGGGTCTATATCTTTATCTAACCTCTTCAATGATATTTTTAAATAGAGTAAAGTAGGAGTCATCGTCAATTCCGCTATTTAGTGGTACATTCAATGCATAATACTGTCCGTTCCCATACCCAATATCCTTAATATCTCCAGTTCCCGGGAAAAAATCACCGTATCTGTGGAATGAGACAGTCATTACTCTGTGAGTGCAATAGAATGCCTCCTCTACACCATCTCCGTGATGCACATCGATGTCAATATACAAGACTCTATTATGATACTTCAACAATTCCAAGATAGCAAGCACTATATCGTTCACATAGCAAAATCCACTTGCCTCCATTTTCTTAGCATGATGCAATCCACCAGCCCAGTTAATGCAAATGTCCGCACTCTTATGATTGAGTTTAATTGCTGCATCCAAGGAACCCCCAGCCGAGATCTGAGAAAATTCAAACAACCCCGGAAAGCATGGACAGTCATTCTCCCCTACATTAAATTTCATCTCAAAATTATTGGTTAGAAGATTGGGTGCAGCTCGCTTCAAATGTTCGATGTAATCTTGTGAGTGAAAAGCGATCATCTCCTGGTCTGTGGCTTTATGAGGAGAGTATACATTCATTTTTCTGTAGAGACCATATGAAAGGATCAGCTAATGAGTCATCTTAATTCTGAAGGGCTTCATTGGGTGCTCTGGTCCGTAGTAAAAGGATCCCACCTCACTGTCGTAGAAATAAGCTACTCTGTTATTAGACATTTTAGAGCTATTCGCACAATTTAATATAATATATTTAATTTTTTCTTCTATTTTTTGTCAGAAAAGCTAGCTTTTAATTTGAGGGGTTTTGGGGTTTTGGGGTTTTGGGG